CAAACACCGTTGGGATTTATAAGATATTGGTTATCAAGGTGATCGATTAACAAATCTAAGCCACTATGATGGTAAACACAAGATAACATTTACCTTTGTTCGTCTTTTGAAGTCCTTATCATACTATTTACTCAAACACAGTAAATAAGATCAACTCTCTCTGGAAATTAGTTATATATCTAAAACTATGAACTTACGAGGAATAAGGATGGAGACCTGTAAATTCTGTAGCGTATATTGCAATTTTTAAATCAGTGTAGCTAAAATAAAATGGCATTACAGACAAATCTGGTCTCTGTTCTTTAGTGGTTTATAATGAAATAAACAAAAGTATGCTAAAAGATATTCGATCATTCGTTAACTTGCATTACTGTGGTCCTCCATGATCTAGGGTGAATTATTTAATGCATTTACAAAGTTTAAACTATTAACACCATGAGGTATCAACAGTTCAAAAATTTATGGCTATCGACTTGTTATATGGAATATTATGATGTCAATAGCTAGGTTCTCTATGACGACAAAACTCAAAAGTAGAAAACTACATGTGAAAGTACTCGACCATTAACCACTCAGTAAAAGCCGCTGAGTAACATCAGCCTTCTCTCACTGAATTGATGACTGAAAGCCTAGTATATATGTATATAATGAAAAAGGGGGTTACATCATGAATCAGCCTTAATCGAACAGCCATTAAAATCCGTGAGGCACTAGATAGTTGTTTTACAAAATGACTGAAGTTAGAAATGCAAATCACAGGATGGCAAGTCAATTGTTTAAAATGCCAAATTCCCAACGTATGATCTGAAGGTCATAGATTGGATCCCCAGTGGATAACCATTGTTAAAGAGTGCTATACAAAGATGAAACAGTTGTCCAATGATTACTGAGCTTTTCTAATACCAATCTAAGTAAAAAGCAGTTAGGGGAATAAACTATAAAAATCAAGAATCGCAACAAAATCCCCTCATACTAAGATATTTGTCTAGTTATGTTAACAATCTATTGTATTACACAACATTTCTATCATTAATTATGTCAACACATACATTTTAGACTTAACAATCTTGCATATGATATAGAAAATTGTCGTTTCGCTTGTGCTATTCATCTACAATGTAAAGCTATTGAATTTTTATATGAAGTACATTGTATACTTGCATTTGATTTTGATAAATCAATACTTTCACAATCAATTGGAACAATCATTGAATTAAAACCAAATGAATGTGACTTTAAAATTAAAGATGATCACTATATATATCCATATAGTAATGCTGTATCTATTCTTCATGTTTAATTAAAATTATAAAATATATATTTAGATTGATGTTAATACGCCTTTTCATGAAGAGAAACGAAGATTGTTGTTATAACGTATGGACTCGTAATATATATAAACGTGCAATGATACAGGAAATACGTACGAACAGTCTTGGGTGCAATCCATGTCTTCCTATCTGCCTAGCCCAACCCGTTAAGTACAGAACACAAATAACAGCCTCGGCAATATGAATCATTATTTACAAACATACTGGGTTTTCGAATTCACTTAGTATTGTTTGTTTGGATCTTCCCATCGATGTGTTTAGGACTGCAACTGGTCAGTCTCTAACTGGCATATGTGCATACTGTGCGTATTGCCTCGATATACCTGGGTTTTTATACAAACCAAAGTAATCAATAAACTGATTATAACTCAAGAATCGTATGATAATAAGTCAAAGGTCAAAATAAAGCTAATGATAAGAGAAACACGAATATGAATAGTTTAGTTACGTAACAATTGTACAATAGGAAATAGGCATAATACATTGGTCAATAGATAGACCTTAGAGATACCATTCATAATTCATCAGGGGATATAACAATTGTGTAAAACACGACAATAGGCAGGAAGAATGTATACTTATTGAGAGAAGTTACTAAGTATTTAAATAATACATACACATAGCCTTCAATTTCCCATTTGCATATTTCGGTGTGTTTTACATTCTGAATCGCCTTCTTAACTGACCTCCAAGTGTTCTGTCAACGCTGTACCTTCAATGCACTGAAACTCTTCACTCTCTCCGACAACAGTTACAACTTCGACTCTACGGTCAGCAAAATACTACTTACAAACATCCTTGTGAGTGGCGTCCATTACAATAGTTATCTGTCTTTAATTGACTTTAGATGCGTTATTCAAATGATTTCAACAACTAGTACACAATATATTATATTGAAATGAGGATAGAAAGTAAAAAGATAAAAAAACATAGGAGTCGGATTAGTGGTAAATGGAAACTCAACAATGAGGAGTACAATTCAACGGGAATAGATGAATGTCAGGCGAAAAATTGAAATCTAATATTAAAACTTTAAATTTAGATGATTAAGAACGTATCCAACTATGTTATTGTAATTCATTCTGAGTAACAACACAAAAATTTTCTAACCATAGATTACAATAATTGTATTAGGAGTTGAACTAGGAGTTGTATATCCTAACTTATAGCAGCAGTAATTGGCTTTACGGACCAATGATCACAATTTTTTGAAATGAAATTAATGTAGTTGATTAGTTACTAACAAAACAAAAACGGACCTAGGGTTATTAGATACATCAAATGTTTAATGAACAATGACAGTAACTATATCAAAACTTCACATAGATGATCTGACCACTTATATGGTTTATCAGTTAAATCTGACCAGTAGGAAAGATGAAATATAAGCGATATTTACAGTGTTATGTTTGATAAGGGTAATAACTATATGTTATAACTTGTGCCCTGATGCCCTGTTAATGTATAACGTGATTGTATTAATCAATGTACATCTCTAAAGAAACGTATAATTGATTCATTAAAAAAATGTATTATAACTTTACATGAAAGTATGTTTCATACGATACATGACAGAAAAAAATTGTAATTGGAATCTATAGTTTGTGCTATAACTTGTGACCTTGTGCTCTATTAATATACAACGTAATGATACCGCCAATTAGAGAACGTTGATTTATCGATCGGGACCAATGACGCGTAAAACCTTTGCGAACAGTCTAGAGTCCTTATCGGTCCTTGCTTCCCACCTAGCCCTGTCTGTGTTCCAACCTAAAAAATAGTAATTAATGAATTTCACACCATAACCGTCTGAATCACAGTTTCTGAATAAAACTAAGTATAACCTCAGTATTACTTATTTAGTGGTGTTACAAAGACAATTACAACCAGTCTTTACAGGTTTTCTACCTTTATATCCCATGCTTTATAAACAAAAATAGTACAAAGCAAATTGCTGTACATAACTTTATTTTGTTGATAAACAGAAATCTTGCTAATTAAATATGATCAGGACAGTGTATCTTTACATAAGCTATGACAAACTTACTTACGTCTGTTACTCCCGCCGCCGACCAACATTCTCTAACCCACTCTGTCCTGGGCCTTCCTTTCTAGTTCTATTCAATTTTTGTTCATTCTTCTCATGTCTGTCTCCATTTCTCGGCGTAATGTGTTCTTTGATCTTCTTCCCCTCCTTTGGCCTTGAGGATTCCAAATGAGGGCTTGCGTTGTGACGCAGTTGGGTGCTTACCTCAATGTGTATCCTATCCACTCCAAGCGCTTCTTTCTGGTTTCTTCCTCCGCTGAAATCTGGCTTGTTCTCTCCCATAGTAGGCTGTTGCTGATAGTGTCTGGCCAACGGATCCGAAGTATCTTTCGTAGGCAACTGTTAATAAACACCTGTATCTTCTTGATCATGGCTTTTGTAGTTCTCCAAGTTTCCGCCCCATATAGTAGAACTGTGTTGACATCTGTATTGAAAATTCTGATCTTGGTGTTGGTTGACAATTGTTTTGAGATCCGGAGGTTCTTCAGTTGTAAATATGCTGCCCTTGCTTTGTTGATGTGAGTTTTCCCATCTGCATCAGATCTACCGTGTTCATCAATGATGCACCCAGATATATTAATACTAATGATAAATTTTGACGTTCAGTTATAATCAATTCCGTTCTTTGGGTAGCTTTTATGTAGTGTTAATTTTTTGGGTCTCTCATGTGACGTAGTGTGGATAAACACTATCAGAAGTAAATGCTGTAACGGACGGTGTCCAAAATCTGATTCTAATATATTGTGTGCTACGCACTAATCCCCCCTCGATTGACAACTTGAGCGAGAACACAAGAGTGATCGAGATAGTGTATTGTCACGAGATAGCTCGAGCAACAGAAACCGATCAGCTTCCAGAGGACACGCAGCTCCCTTGATATGCTGGTATCATCAAATGTACGGCTACAGAGCTAGAAAGTGTTTACGACCTTGTAGATTTAGCATAACAGGTAAGCGATACCCACGATTGTCCATGGCGACGGCATCATCGAACATACTGCCTGTAAATAGCCACCTGTTTTATATACAAGGCCGAACGACAGGCGTGCAATTCTTAGTTGATACGGGAGCGGAAATCAGCGTAGTACCTCCAGCAAGCGAAGATGAGAAAAATGTTAATACGTTTTTAGTGCTAACAGCGGCAAACAAATCGGATATCAAGACATACGGCAAACGAACGTTGTCCCTAGATTTCGGACGAGGCGCTTCGTACCGCTGGGACTTTGTCATAGCAGACGTGTCAGTGCTCATAAGAGACATCGATTTCTTATGTAACTTCGATCTGCTAGTAGACTCGCGGCGTCACAGACTTATTAATGGTAGTCACACCACTTCGATAAGGGGAACACTTACAGAATCCGTTTCCATGAGTCTAGTGATAGATAAAAAGCTACGGTGATCCATGTAAATTGTTAATAAAGGAGTTTACCGAACTCGTGAAAGTATGTACAGTAATGCGGATCTCAAACATTCCATTCAGCACCAGATCATAACGAACGGGCCACCAATTAACGCAAGGCCAAGAAGATTAGACCCAAGAAGACTAACGATAGCAAAACAGGAATTTGACAAGTTGATGAGGCTGGGCATTGTAAGACCTTCAAACAACCCGTAGACATCCCCGTTACACACAGCCCCGAAAAAGAATGGAGAAGGCCATGTAGAGACTACCGAGCACTCAACAAGCAAACAGTAGCCGATAGATATCCTATACCGCACATTCAAGATTTTACTTATAGTATAGAAGGCGCTACTGTCTTCTCAAAGATCGACTTAGTTACAGCATACTACCACCGCTTTCACTTTTCTCAAAGAAATTGAATCCTACGCAAACGAGATATAGTACTTTTGGAAGAGAATTACTAGCAATTTACTTGGCAATAAAACATTTTCGACATATGGTAGAAGGTATAAATTTTACTGTTTACATGGACCACAAACCACTAACGAAATCACTAAGTGCAAAGCAAGATAATTATTCTCCGAGGCAGATCAGACAGTTAGAGCTTAGTTCCCAGTTCACTTCCGAAATACGATATATTAAAGACCAAGAAAACGAAGTAGCTGACGCACTACCAAGAACAACAATAAACGCGCTTACTACAAATCGAATCGATTATCACGGTCTGCTGAAGTTGCAAGAGACAGACATTGAATTAAACAAGCTAAGATCCGATGACAGGACATCACTAGTATTCGAAGATGTCAGTTCGGTAACGCAAAAGTATTATGTGATATGTCAACAGGCCGACGGCGTACATCCATTCCAAAACCATTACGACGGAAGGTATTTGAAAGTATGCACAACATATCGCATCCGGGAATAAAAGCCAAGATGAAGCTAATCAGCCAGAGCTTTGAGTGGACGAACATGAATTGGATACAGGCATGCATAAAATGTCAAAAAGTCAAAGTACATCGTCATACTAGCTCGCCAAAGGGTTCGTTTTTGCAGCCAGACACTCGATCCGAGCATACACACATCGATATCGTGGAACCATTGCCAGTTTCAAAAGGATACATTTATATTTTTACATGTATCGATAGATTTACAAGATGGCCTGTAGAGGTGTCAATAAAAGATACCTCAGCCAAGTCTGTAGCCAAAACCCTGTTATATCCCGAAGAGAATTATGAATGGTAACTTTGAGAACTATTTAAGGACCAATATGATATGTATATTTCCTATTTTATAATTGCTAAGTAACTTAACTATTCATATTCACGTTCCTTTTATTATGAGCTTTATTTTGACCCATAGACTATTACTGTGCGATTTACCATTCCTGAGTTATACCCAGTCAATTAATTACTGTTCCCCCTATTCATAGCCACATTTGGCCAATTATTGTACGAATGTTGTTTCCTATTTTATGATGTGATATGGTCTGTTTGATTGGTATATAAACTTAGTATGTTTAAAATATAATGATTCATATTGCAGAGGCTGTTATTGATATTTTGGACTTAACTGGCCGGGCTAGTCAGAAATCAGGACCGACAAGTGCTCTAGACTGCTCGTGCAGGTTTCGTGTGTCATTGGTCCAGTAGATTAATCACTGCTCTTTCATTGGCACTCTTATCACGTTATACATTAACAGGGCATCCACTCAGGCACACAAGATATAACAATTACTTTCATTACATTGACTTTGTAAGTGAAAAAATGTCCTCTTTCTTTAATTACCTCAAATATCCGCATGATTTTACTTATAATTGTTTTTGACATCACTTCATTTCATTTAACCCCTCTCTATTACCTTTGAAATCATTTTAATAACTTCACCCTATTCACACTACAATTTAATGTTGGCCAATTAATTAATTAATTTTTACATATGCCCTGTAGAAGTTATACAACATTTTATCATTATTTACAGTATATAATCTAGTGTTATAATCTATTTATAAAATCATAATTTTCATTCTTTGCTTATGTCTATTACATATTATTATATGACTGTACAGCTTGATAATAAACTCGTTGAAAATAGATCCTTTTATTGAATTTCATGTTTTTAATATTTAACTAACAATAATAAATCACTTAACAATTGAAATCACAAGTCGATCTAAGTTAGATTACCATTGAAAACCTGGAAGCACTAAACGGTTGCTTCGTCAATCATTGAAAACCAATATTAGCTTAGCTTAAATAGACTCGTGATTTAAACTGTCAAAATACTACAATCTACACAAATCACCTATACTGATAACTATAGTCAGTTAGCTACAACGTGGGACCAGGCACGTTTATCCATCGGTCCAAGTTGCCATACTTCGTTAGCACAACAAGATGAACACCGGATTCATAGAAGTAGTTAATTTAGTGGTGGTGGTAGTATATAAAATTTGTTAACAGTTCATAAACAAACAAAATAACTGACTTATAACAGTAAATATATTTTAAAAATTCAACCACATTTGAAAGATAGAGTATAAATTTCATTATTACAAATACATGGAAAGAAAGGTAACTAAAACAAGTTATTAAAAATGAAACTATGGACTTTAAAGTACAATGGATAAATATACAAAGTCTGGAGGGTAAAAGGTAGCTAACAATTTAAATGATTAATCAATTTTCAATATTATTTAATTCAGATGAATTTGTTGAAGAAGGAATCTGCGTTTCACCAACACGTTTCACAATATTATTTTCAGTTTGGTCGACTGTACTACTACTATTAGTAATACTATTACTGTTATTCGGTTTTAAATGTTCAGACTTTTCGGAAATATCAACTTTTTCCGCAACAAAGGACTCTATTTTAGTTGGAATGGAGTTAGCTGGATATAGTCCTGAAGGTTCACTTTCAGTCATAGACACTTTGATCGATAAAGGTTTAGGTGGAGGGGTTGGTAGGGGAATAGAAACATTTGAAGAAATAGGACTAAAATTGGTTGGATTCGAAAAATAAGGAGAAGATGGGGGTGGAAGAGATACAATAATGCGATTTTTTGTCGGAGGACGGCCTCGACGTCGTTTAGGTATTACTTCAGCACCAGGGACTCCGGGTTGAACGTTACCATATAGATTAGAACTATGTGCTAAAGATGTGTCTTTAATATCACTGACACCTGGTGTTTGACAAATTTTCCGCTTCAACATTGGTTTACGCGGTTTCTTCACACTATAACCCCATGGCAAATCATCTGAATCTTTGGGTCTGTTTTTCCTAGGACGTCCTTTCCTAGGTGGAGTTGGCAATGATTCACATAATAAACATTCCCAATTTCCATTAGGAATTCGTCCTAAACCAACACAAAATGCATGATAACCTCGATCACAACGATCACAAAACATCATTTGATCTTCTTGACCTGAATCGTTACATTCCACACACCGTTTACACTCTAAACATGTCCAATCATAGCTAAAAAACAACAAGAAAATACACCAAGTGACATCAGTCAGTCAGTTACAACGTAGTGACATAAGTTTATGAATGTCAACAGTATTACTATATATATTGTTAGATTAAAATGAAAAAAAATTCCTATATATAACTCCGCCTGTAGCTCTCCTAGAGTTACTGCCCGTCCCAAGCCCGCATAAAAGAGGAGGGTTGGGTGTAGTGTTTCCGAACCCATCCTGTAAGAAACCACCCCCCCTAAAAAGACCCTAACCACAAAAACTAAATCAAACCGTTTAAACACTGTCCTTCGAGTTCAAGGAAGAATTGTGATGTCTCATGATGAAAGACGAGATAATTCGGAAGTCACGACTTAAATGCCCCTTCTAACAACCAGAGCAACACATTTCATAGGTACATAGAACGTCCGGATAATCTGCGAGACCGGGAAGAACAGTCAAATAGTAATGCGAAGAGGAGATACAAACTGCAAGAAATCAGAATCACCTAAACTCATTGGAAAGAAGCTGAACAGCAAAGCCTAGTATAGCAGCTCACGTACAATTGAGTTTGTTCACATCTAATTTGGTTAAGCCCTTTTGCTATAAAAGATCAGATCTACAACGCGTCGGTGAGGGCAGCTTTGCTCTATGCTTGTGAAACCTGACCTCTTCGAGTTGAGGATGTTAGACGACTCTGTGTTCGATCATCGTTGTCTCCGAAGGATTTCTGATATCCAGTGGCAACAGCATATTAGTAACGCAGAGATTCGGCATCGTGTATTCGGGGACAACCACGAAAATTCAATCGGTATCATTATCTTGAAACACAGAGTTCGGTGGCCTGAACATGTCCTACAAATGTCGTCCCAGTGAATCCCACATTACGTATTATTTGCCGACGCTGGGACAGGTTGAAAAAAGCGGAGAAGTGGTCAGTGCACGACATAGTGCCGTGGTATGAAAGAAAGCTTTACAGGACCGGCTTCTGCTGGTCTAGATGTATCTTTTTTAACTGAACTGCTTCCCCCACTATTGTTATTACTATTATTGTTATTATTATTACTTTAAGTAGTTTTTAAGCATTAACTTATTTTTTGCTTTTCAACAGTCACCCTACTATTTCCCGGTTTCAACAAACTCGACTTTCAACTAATGAGTTGGAGGTATTCAAATTCCACACCTGAGGAGCCATGACTGTATGAATTACCCTTAATTATCATTGTACAAAAACCTTTTTAACATATCAATTAGAAAAACGGTAAATAACAATGTGAATGGAGAAATTAGTCATGCTAATGGGTCCAGATAGCCACTGACTGGTGTAATAGGATATATATATATATATATTACTGGTTGTTCGGATCTTCCCATTGATATTTAGGACTGCAATTGATCAGTCTCGGTGTGAACGTCAATTCTGGGCTGCAGGTACAGTCAGATGACGAATCCCAAATAGGCACCCTTTATCTCTACTCATAACACTTGTGACCTAAGGCCGTATTGAGGCAATCCGCTCAAGATGTACATGCGCCAATAAGAAACTGATCAATCGCTGTCTTAAATATCAATGAGAAAATTGAAACAACCAATATATATGAATGAATGAATGAATGAATAATAATAATAATAATAATAATAATAATAAATTGTTTTACCTTTTCACACCTGATAGCATAGAATCAGGTATATCCAAACATTTTGGATGACCAATTAATTTACACTCAGAACAACGTATATAATTCGTAGCTAATTGGCCACAAACAACACAAATAGGGTTTTCTGTATTTATTTCTGTATTTCTTTTAAATCGTCGATAGATCGAATTACTTGTTTTATCTGTTTCTACATCAGAAACCAATGATCTGTCACCAACTAACATGTTTGAACTGAAGAAAGGAAATAATAAGTAAATAATTCAAAATGAAATGGATTTTATTAATTTAAAGATCTCCACAGAATATTTAAAAACAGAAAATATAAAGGAGAATAGTTATTTTCATCATAAGGTTCTACAGTTATGAGTCCATAGTTATTGTCAGTCAGTCAGTCAGCTACAACGTAGGACCAGGCACATTTATGCATCGGTCCAAGTTGCCATACCTCGTTAGCACAACAAGATGAACACCGGATTCAAAGAAATAGTTAATTTAGTGGTGGTAGTATATAAAAGGTTATATGTAAGGATATAGTATAGGAATAAAGTTATGAAGCAATTTTAATCTCAAGGTTTAAGGGAAGATAAAGTGTGTGTGTTGTTAGACATTCATGATGATGCAGATACATTCATTCTTTTTTTTACTTGATTTCAATTCCAGTATTCCTTCGTTTATACCCTTTGACTCAATCTTTTTAAAATTCCAATCTCAGTGCTTAATCTTATTAATTGTCATTGCTAATACATTATTTTGATCTCTTTCGCTCTAAATTTTATCCCACAGAAGTAAATCAACTTGGGTTAACATACATATGTGCCAGGTTCTATGTTAATGACGACTGAATGATTGTATTATAATGGCCAAAACAAGGTAAACACAAGCGAATTATCTAATGTCGAACGTTAAAGACATAAAATTGTCTAATTCATTGATGCATGGCCTACTTTGACATTGTAATACGATAATTAATGACTTATAACTGTAGAGCATGATGATGAAGTTAGCGAAAACAACTTTTCGTTTTGGTTTACTTTGCTTTCGAATTTCGGTAATTTAGAGCAATTAGTCCCATTAATAAATCTTGATGGAGTAATAAGACGTGACGTGTTTGTGCTATACATTTCGAACAAGCTAACCATGCATATACTTTTCAAAGCATTTATAAACGAAAACTAATAATTATCAGTTAAGCAGAAAGTCGAACAAATATAAAGTGATAAATAAAAACAGAGGAAAGAAAAGAATTGATGGATGTGATATGAAAGGAATATGAAGATGTTACACCAACTTAGGTTGTAAAATGGATTAAAAATAACCAGGACAAATTCACGGTTAAGATAAAGATAAAGGAAGTTTGAACTCCCTAATACGTAAGCCCTTTAAAAACCTGAGAATTCGCTCTTGACAATCCCTATGCAACATTTTAAGAGCTGTGTTGATCTCAATCATATGGCTCATTTCCTAGTTCCTACGTTTGCTGGAGAATTTGATACTAACTGAATCTAAAGCCATTTGAGCACATGTTTCAATAAACTTGTTCGATCACTCCTCCTCATGTGTGTCCACGCAAACATGTGGTAAATATAGTGGGAAGTGACGTAATCGTGTGGGATGTTTAGGCTTCTGTGGAATAATAGACCCTATTTTTTCTCGATGGATACTCTTAGTCTTTGTCTCAAAATTATGCTGTTCGACTCTTCTCTGAATGGCAAAGTGATTTAAACCCTTTCTACGAAACAGAATTAAGAATTGGTTCTGGTGTTAACTGACTTTTACACTGGCTTGCAGATTTCAGTGGAAAACTGTTTAACATCAATGTTTCAGTTAGCAACCTTATATTTTCTTCGAACGCGTCTGTAGTACATGTTCGCAATGAGCTTATTTATTATTATTATTATTATTTAAACACATATATATTGGTACAAAAGGGCACCAGGTACATATGCGCCACACAAAATAATGAAAGTAGGAAGAGAAGGGATGAAAAGATAAGGCGGACTGAAATGTACAACCAGAAGACTCTTTCAGTTAAGAAAGTTAGAACCATTCTTTATGTAGAAAGTAAAAGAAGGTTGCAGCAGGATCGCCACTGGCTTCTATTCTGAGCCATATCCGATAACGTCTCTAGCCACTGTGTTGCACCATCTCTCGGACCCCAGCCAGGGAGTCGTGAAGGACCAACAGAAGCTAGCCCTTTGCAGCTTTCTTTCATGCCACGACACCATGTCATACACTGACCTCCTCTCCGCTTTTTCCAACCAGTCCCAGGGTCGGCAAATAATGCACGACGTGGAAGCCTCTGGGACGACATTCGTAAAGCATGTTCAAGCCACCGAAGTCGGTGTTTCAAGATGGTGACACCAATTGAATTATCGTCTCTGCGCCCGAACACACGATGCCGAACCTCTGCATTACTAACATGGTGTTGCCACTGTATGTCAGCAATCCTTCGGAGACAACGATGATCGAACACAGAGAGTCGTCTAACATCCTCAACTCGGAGAGGCCAGGTTTCACAAGCATAGAGCAAAACTGCTCTCACCGACGCGTTGTAGATCCGACCTTTTACAGCCAGACTAACATCACGAAGGCGCCAAAGATGGCCCAGATTGGCATAAGCCGCTCTGGCTTTCATTATACGTGCATCAATCTCATCACTCACCCCCCAACCAGCACTTATATAGCTACCTAGATACACGAACTTCTCAACTACTTCGATCTCCTCACCATCCAGGGTGAGTACAGGATGAGAATCCTGCCAGTCTTGTAGGAGTACTTTGCACTTGGAGGGTGCAAAGCACATGCCGTACCTGCGGACACTGATTGCCAACTGATTAAGTGCGGATTGCATGGCTTGAGCATTATCGCCCAGTAAGACAATATCATCCGCATACTCAAGGTCGAGAAGTCGTTCTCCAGGCAACATATCCAGACCTCCATTACTTGCATCCATCAGAGCTGTTTCCAGGATGTCGTCGATAGCAAAGTTGAAGAGGAATGGTGAGATCGGGCAACCCTGCCTAACCCCACTGCTCGAATGGAACAAGGGATAAAGGTGGTTGTATGCCATCACTCAGCCTGAGGTGTTCGTATACAGGGCCTTTAAGATGTTAATGAACTTCTCAGGCACACCCTTCTTCAATAGACAATCCCAGAGAACAGTCCTGTCCAACGAATCGAAGGCCGCCCTGATATCAAGAAACACTGCGATTGTTGGCCTGCGATAAGTATGACGGTGTTCTAACATTTGGCGGAGGGTGAAGATGTGATCAATGCATCCTCGACCAGAACGAAAACCAGCCTGCTCCTCGCGAGTCAATCGTTCTCGGGTTTTAAACAACCTACGAAGAATGACAGAAGCCAATAGTTTGGACGCAATCGAAAGTAGACTTATCCCCCGATAGTTATTGCAGGAACAACGTGAACCCTTTTTAAAGATAAGGACGACTATTGACTCATTCCAAGATGTTGGAACACTTTCTTGCTCCCAAACCTTTCCAAACAACGCAGTCAGTTCCTTAGCCAGAAAGTCACCACCATCTTTAAAAAGAGCCGGAGGTAAGTCATCTGGGCCCGGTGATTTATAACGTTTCAAGAGTTGGAGTTCCTTGAGGACTTCCGCCTCGTTTGGTGGATCAGTCGTCACCGGCCATGGGGGGCAGGACAAGCTGGTTGATGTTGCCGGAGCAGCAGGTCAGTTGAACTGCCCTTCGAAAAATTCCGCCCATCATCCAAGACGTCGACAGATGTTAGTGATTGGCATCCCATCATCCTCGTAGATTGTTTCACTCACACCAGACTTCTTGCTGCCAGTGGCTCGGATGAGTTGGAAGAGCTTCCGGCTGTTACCAGATGCAGCTGCTGCTTCCATCTCATTAGCACGCTCCGACCACCAGGCTTCTCGGTCCTTACGCAAGCTTTGCCCGATTTCATTACGTAACAGCCTTCGTTTGTGGTCAAACTCACGGTCACCCGGAGTAGACCGACGGGCTTCCATCAGTTGTAAGGAGCCAGAAGAAACCCAGTGCTTGTAAGCGGGACGTTTCGCGAAGCCGCAAGCGGCTTTACTCGCCATTTTCATGGCGTCGTGAAGAAGCAACCAATGCTCATCTATACTTTTCGGTGGGGTGGTAGCTAGCTTAGAGGCTAGCTCCGCTCGATACTTACTTGCAACAGAAGTTGCAGCCAGTTTACTAACATCAATCCGTTGGTGGTGGTCAATCCTTCGGCCACTGAAAAGTAAGGTGAGGTTGGCGCAGACCAGGGCATGATCAGACTCCAGATAGGTACTCCAAAAGGAGCGGCAGTCTTGTACACAACCACGCCAGCGGTAGCTGATCGCGATGTGATCAATCTGAGTCCAGGCTTGGGATGCAGAGGGAGGACGCCAGGTGGCACACCGGCGATGACTGTGCCGGAAGTTAGTGCTGGCCAGAAACAGGTTGTGGTCTGTGCACAGTTGCAGCAAACGGTCCCCGTTATCTGTCCTGCGACCAACAAGTCCACATCGGCCACCTAAACGACTCTCTTCTGTGCCTAGACGCCCGACCTGTGCATTCAAGTCTCCGGCTAGTACTACAATATCTGTCGAACGCGCTTTCTGGAGAAGAACTGTTAACTGATGGTAAAACTCATCCTTGATTGCATCCGGGCTGCAATCTGTCGGGGCATAGGCGAAGATAACGAAAAGACACCGTTTCTCACGCCGATTTCTTCTCACTTTGATGGAACTTTCTAATCTAACAGCACATAACCGACTGTTAATGGGGATCCAATCGATTAGTGCTGCCTCAGCCCTAGCGCTTAGTGCGACACCAACGCCAGCAAGACCAAACGAAGATGCCACAGGGTCCCCGGATAAGCGCACGTGGAACAAGCTCTTCGAGGCGACAGATGGAGAGCGGATTTGTAGTACTTCACTAGAGTCTTGAATACGGGTCTCGGATAGACAACAAACATCAACATTAAGACCTTCCAAAGACATAGCCAGCCCTATCTGTTGTCTGATATGCATTAGTGTGCGAACGTTGAAGGAAGCCAGCTTGAACGGCGTACGTGGTTTCAGAAAGACTGCTTCAGTATTCATTATCGGTGGAAGCATTCACTTTCAACCAGACAGTGACTGGAGATCGTTTAGATAGGACAGATTTTCCACCATGGGCGAGCTGCTGCATAAGTTGAAAAGTAAGGTTACACAAATTGGGGATAAAAGGGGGTGAGTTAGCGATATGGTAAATAATAATAATAATAATAATAATAATAATAATAATAATAATAATAATAATAATAATAATAATAATAATAAAGGTAATAATAATAATAATGTTAATTGTCTTGCTTTTAGTATGACCAGGGATATTATCGTCAATAGAGTTCATAATTTCATTTATTTGTGTGTGGGCTGTGATACTGCCCGGGTGCCCAAACAGAAGCAGGTGGTTTTCTTAGGGGACCACACCCCGAGCCTTTGACCTAAAGGTCTGATCCACAAGGCAGTGGAGCATCGTGAGGAGATGCAGTCCCATGGTTGCCGTTGACCAATGACAGGTTCTTCCGCCATTCGTTCCATCAGGATACTGGAGCCCATGTGCACCACTGGTTTGGAATCAGGGTTTTCCAACTCCCCTAGGTGGATGCGCCGTTTCCACCAACCCGGTTAAAGCGCCGGACATTCGGTTTTCGTCCTCTCACTTTCGTAAACAACAACCCCGTCACGAGAAGGCAGTGAGTAGGACTTCCCTGGCAGAGGCTATATATTCGCTGGCCATATGAGAGCATTTCGAAAGGGAGAGGTGATTCTCCCCACTCTCGGCCGTACCAGGGCATTTGGGGGCAATGAGCTAGTATTTAGCATCTCCGACTTCAATATAGTGAACGACTCCACTTCTATCCTCTTTTTCCCTCTTTGCCAACTAGAGGGAGAAGCCCGATTTGTGCAACAGCTTTCTTTATTGTGACCTCGAAAGAATTAATTTTCTATGTAATATAATGACATATATACAGAATATTAACACAAAGTAAATATGATAAAATGTCATAGGCGACTGGAGGAAGTTAGTTTATAGGTCACTCAGTCTCCAATCAATTAGGACCTGAACGTTAGGCTTAATTATTGAGCATTGTATCACTTTACTACTTTAACAACTGGCCAGTGTCTTAGTGAGAATTTTAAACAGGACTCTAGACGTCCTATGGAAAAGTAGTTTATACACGTTAAAATTAAAGTAAAATGCAAGTATTCAGAGATACTGTGAAGGTACAAAATCTTACTTAGTAACACCACTTGATAATAGTGATCCGTTTGCATATCTAGTCCGAAGAACTTCCATTGAGCTCGTGGTTTGGTGGTTTAAAGAGTCAATAGATCTAGAATGATCTAAACCAAATAAATTTTGATCACCGAGATCACAAGAGGTCATAGTAGGTGTGTTGAATTTCGGTTTAATCGAACCAAATCGAAGCGTTGTGGGAAGAGGAGGTGGATTTCTATGTTTTCGTAGTGGATGTGGATATAAAACACGTGATAATGGAAGGTATGATAACTGTTCAGGAGTATAGCTCATAAAATATTCTGCGAACTGTCCAGGTATGACTGCCACAGGATATGCACCATTGGGAAATGTTGGATATTCTAATAACTTATAAATTCTCTGAGGAATGTGAATTTGCATTGTCTGTAAATCCCAATAACAACGTCTTGAACTCATACGTTCGGTAATCAAGCGATGATTGTAATCAGCAGCAGAATCTAACGCTCGTCTGCGAGCTGCTTCAGCTCGAGCCTCTCCACGTTCAATACGAGCAGCCTATGTGAAGAATTAACACCGTAAACATAGGTTAAACCTAAAGCTTAGGATTTAAAATCATTCCGGAAGGGATTGTGATACAAGGAATCTAAGCAACTAAAGGATGATCGTTCTCATGCCACGGGCCCTATATCCTTTAAACCCTTATATCTCAGTAACCTTAGATTAATGTGTGCATTTTTCTGCCTTCCAAATGAATGAAAATTAATAAACATACTACAAGGTTCAGTGAGTCGAAAATTGACTTTATCTTATCCTTTGAAATGCATAATATCACTCAGCCACAAATGTCGAACTACAATCACTATGTAGATTATCTCAATTTAATCTATTCACTAAGACCTTGAAAACCAGGTATAACAGCTAATAATCACACAAAAGTTGTGACCTAAAATCTTATAACCTAACTATAACTAAAACCTGACGGCTCTGTGGGAAAGATAAATCAAACGGAATATATGATGGAAGGTGCGATAAACAGAGTCACTCCCCTCGAAATCCAAATACAATCCATTTTATTCAGCCCGACAGAATCATTCGATTTATAGATCACGAGTTTCCAAGAAATACATAACACCAAGTGAAGTATTATGTATGCACATTCCATCAATTAAGATTCCCCTCCTCATCTTACAGAATTCTCTGATACCTTAGTGTGCTTTCATTACATACAGCGAACAGAATTCATTAGGAGTGCCCACTGATAACCATCTCATTCAAATTTGTTTAAAAAATCACAGTTGAATGTTGTAAAGTAGAAGCTGTTTGGTTAAGAAAATGATTTCTACTATTCAAACTTACTTCATACTGACGCTTTTGATTTTCGACAGCCGTTTTAAATTTTCGTCGACGAAACAAATCCGTCAAAGCAATGTGTATCTCTGGATAATCCTGTTGCAAAAGCTTCATAACATCATCAGTTTTGAGTGCTGTGAGACCAAGGTCTGCACGACCAACAGGAACAATCCCCTCTTGCTGCAACCAAGATCGTTCATAAGCATCCATAGCGCGCCTAGCAAGATCAGGGTACTTGCGTTTAAAAGATTTGACCTAATAAAAAGGGGAAAACGTTAATCAACTGAACTGCTTGAAAACTTGATAGAAACAAAATTAAGAATAAAATCCAATGCAAAATACATACAAAGGTTCTTAATAAAACGTAATATGATGAAAATAGTAATAAAACCACAAATTTATCCAAACATTTTAGCTACGAAAAACCGTTTAAACACTGAATCATATCTTGGTTACTGGAGTTAGCAGTGGCTCAAAGTTGATCCATTCATATGAATAAGGAGACTTAAATAAATATGGATTAGCCGCAGCTATACAACGTTATAAAACAAACGGTAATTCAAAATACTAGTAAACAATATAATTACCATAAGCAAAGTGTTATACTGCAATCAATCAAAACGGTAGAAATTTACAGATAATGGGGTTCTCATCATCAAGAACTTAACCTGCATAACGAAAACCACTTTATTCACTTACATAGATATATTTTCATAGTTTTAAACAAAAAAACTTATTAGAACTTTTATATCCTCTAGAGTAAAAAGGGTAGAAACTGCAGGACTTAATATGGGGTTTAGGTTATACAACGATAACTAGTGTTCAGAGCAAATGCTTCTTGAAATATTGTGCTGATTATTATTTTACTTATTTTAATAAACTGATTGTCTCCTACTGAGTATGCCTTCCTGCCTTGTCTCTTTTTTGTGTCCTACTGCAGATAACTTTCGACCATTGGATGACGACTAATTTACTGCGATGCTATTCCACAACGCACTAAAAAATGAGCCAAGCCATGTTGATCTATTCTACCCCAAATTCCAGCAAAACGTGAGTAGATCTCTAGGCTCATATTTCAACCGAAGTTCCTATAATACACATCAAGAAACGAGAACCAAATAACAGAAAGACAGAGAACTAGGCATGATATAACATCAGTTGTAAATAACTAAAGGATTACTTCTGTGGTAAGCAAGCATACCCCTGACACCTAACCGAACATTTGCTACTAATAAAAATATTACAATATTAATACCTTGAAGTCCAGAATGAAAAAGAGCGACAGTAAGTAAGAGATAAAACCAACCTTTAAAAAGTCAGCAAGTACTTCTTGAACTATGTATGACTCCTTCTCATGTTTTCCACCAGGAGATTCAGAATCACTATCAGCCCAGTCGTACTCGTAAATGTCCTCCAAGTTAACATTATCAGTAAGTCCTGAGATGGAAGTAGAACGAGACATATCTGACTTCATTTTGCTCTCACGTCTTGAAGGAGTCGCGGAGAGAGAATTACTGGACTGATTCGTCTAAATGCAATCTATTAAAATATTATGACAGCATTACCCGAGTCTTTTGTGTATCTGAGTCGCCGTCATCATTTTTTAGGGGTGTACCAGGCAAAGTATCCACACTCATGTCCAGATCAAACATTACGGTCTCATCGTCAATCTGATCTTTAAATGGAGCGTGATTATTTTCTGTACAAATTGGAAATGTCATTGATTTTGCTTGTTGAAAAAGAGGCCAAGTTTCAACTGCGATTCATCTAAAAATCAAACCTCACTCGATTGGTACAACTACCCGGAACACTTCCTAGGAAATTTCGGAAATAATATGTGTAAAATAACTGGAATTTTATAATAAAAGTGCAATAAAAACAAGTGGAGTTTAAAGCAGTTAACTAGAGAGGAAAAATACCAGCTTAATTTCCCGGCAGGGATCAAGCAAACAAGCCTACTAGAAATCACGTTGTACTGAAATCACCTAACAAAGCTATTTACATTATTTTAAGCTAATGAGTAAAGGTCTGGAATGTTAAAATAAATAAATACAAGAGCTGGGAGATAGTACTAAATCACGTAACATTTTGTCTACGAGTTGCCTCGTGAACTATAACTTGAATTTGGACGTGGTATACATTTACGAAGTAACTTTTATTGAAATAACAGGAAAGATATCCTGACAACTAAATCATGATAATAGCCATTTGAAAAATTATTTAGGTAATGTAGATCATAATCTGAAAGTGATACATAACTATCTGACAAAAACTTCTCAAGATCTTTCCAATGTTCAATGTGAATCTGTAATCTGTATGGCTTTCTCTTTTTCTAATCATTTTATGGCTTTTTTGTACCTTATCTTAGTCGTTTACTGGATTCTATGTGCTGTATGGCGGAGATTTGATCAGTATTAACGCAGAAAATTTTCCTTATAAAATGGGTGGTAGATATCATACCACAAACTCCATTGTTGGTGCTTAAGCAGCTAGTAAAAACAAGAACCGAGTGAATTCTATTTGAACACATAATCTATGATGTTGTTTCGGTTCTACACTACTTCAGTGACTTTACTATGAGGTAACAAATGTTTGTCTTCCTCATACCTGTCGATACTGTTGAAAAACAATACAAATCAGTAGATAAGTACGGATTATAAACTAATCTAAATAACAATAATGAGGTTAAGGTCAAAAAACACAAGGTTGACAAACTACTTAAGCTGACCGAATTTATAGGCTTCAAAAGTCTGTAGAAAAACTAAAATCTTTAAGCTCCTTAGGATTGTTAACAGCAAACAAAAATACGAAATGCTCTCACATAGCTACACCAATACATCCATTGTCAGGGAAGTCCTACTCACTTTCTTTTCGAGGTGGTGTTGTTTACCAAATTGATAGAACCAAAAGTAAATGTCTGGTGCTTTAACCGGGTTGGTGGGTATGGAGGATCCACCTAGGACAGTCCGAAAACTCCGATTTCGAACCAATGGTGCACATGGGTTCCAGGATCCTGAGGGAGCAAACGGAGTATGGAAATATTGTTGGTCACCGCATACCATGGGACTGCATTTCCTAACGTTGCTTCACTGTCTTGTGGATTAGACCTTTGTGTCAAAGACTTGGGGAGTGGCCTCCTGAGAAACCACTTGTTTCGGTTTGGGCGCTCGGACAGTATTACAGTCCTCGCAAAAATCGAATGAATTGTGTGACACATACATATTCACTGCCTCCTTGTACCAGTGTTTTAATAAATAAATAATAAACAAACAAAAATACGAATATATTTGGCAAGACTACAATTTATGGACGAATCAATCAGGTTTAAGGTAGAGTCTTGGATTTTGGGGCGAAGTTCATACATATATGTGGCTAGGTAGCATTTCGGCATTATAGCCTATGTCAGTTCGCGATGAAAACCCTTTAATATTTAACCCGAACTTATAATTCCAAGTTCCAATTATAATTTCACACGCCAATTTATAATCCTCTTTAGACGCTAGCTAGTAGGTGAACTATCTTAAGTTCACCTTGACATTGCTCAAAGGTTATCCCCAAATTAAAGTCTCACATTAATCTTCATATTGAGTCAAGTTACATATACATACATGATGAACAACACTGAGCTGCCTGTTGTCCAGACAGATTGACTTGGGAACCATCTTTAGCCAAGACTTAAAGACTACTGCACACTGCCGTGCAATAGCCGCCAAACGTTTTAGAACCCTATGGTCAATACGTAGGGCCTTTAGTTATGTCGATGCAAAAACTTTTCTGACTTTGTATAGTGTTCGCACGTCCTAAACTTGAGTACTGCATACAAGCGGCTAGCCCCTGCCTAAAAAAAGACTGAGTTTTTCGAAAAGGTTCAGAGAACAGCAGCTAAGCTGATTCTCAGAATGGCGAAGCTCGACTGACCAAAATAAACCTATTCCTGTTGCCATACCGAAGAAATAGAGGTGAATTGATCACAGTTTTCAAATTACATAGTGATTAGTTTGCACTTGATATGCCCACGTTTTTCTTGTCTGCCAAAACAGAAAATTTACGAGGACACTCCAAAACTTTCACAAGCCCAGAACGAATCACTTGTCAGTTGACCATTGGCTTTCCCATCGAAGCATCAACGGGTGGAATACACTACCTCAGCACGTGGTTGAGGCTCCACCTGTCGATTCTTTCAAAAGAAAGTTGGATCAACTGAGAGACCATCGTTGCCTGAACTAACACAGATCAGCAAGTCTCCTATCCTTTCCAAATTGAAACCGAAACTGGGCCATGCAACCCATCCAGTGTTGATATTGAATGAGCGAACTCCCCTCCTCCCCCACTGTATAATGATAAACGTCAATTTCCACTCCATTTTTATTACAGTTAAGACTAAAAAGGCTAATTATAGAACTAATTTTACGCAGATCGAGTAACCAATTGATCAACCCGTTTCTTGATAGGAAAATAATTCATATATCACAACGAAGAGCTAATCTAACTTAAACAAAATTGCCCCTTACCAACACAGAGAGATATCAATTCGATTTCCAAAATTTAGAGAAAATTTCACCTATTTTGGAAAACTCTCATAAAACTTGGGGAAGTGATCATAGCAATCGCAACACTACATCCGATTCAGGGTTTATTCCCCAATATATTGATGGGCTTTTGAAGTTCCACTGATATGCTCTGTACATTTACTCAAAGATGGGACGTTAGGAACTCATCGCACGAGGCAGTGAATTCTCTGAGAAAATCAATTCTTCATATGACAGACAAATCACAACCACAAGTCAAGTGATGAACTTTGGGGACGTGAAAACATATTAAGCGGGGGAAAAATAGTATATGTATACCATACAAATACGAATGTGCATGTTGTCTATAGATTAAAATCACACAAGTGGGTCGAAAGTAACCTTTAAAAAATCATGGACAGTTGATAAAATGTGAAATGTCTTTAAATTCTCAGATGACAGAGATGAGGAAATTCATTGAGAATAAACATCATGAACACTTGATAGCAAAACCTGAAATGCAACGTACGACTTGAAAACTGCGCTCTTGTAGTAATGTTATTTCAAAGATCAATTCATCGGAAGTCAAAATACATTGACTAGGTGGTATTGGAAGTGCAAAATAACCTCATTCTTGATTAGAAACTATCTTGCTGTCAGACCACGAACGCTTTAATTTTGATGACATACAATCTACTGTAATGACAACGCCCTCTATACATTATTTATTTATTTAAACACATAAATTTTGGTACAAGGAAGCACCAAATCTCATTTTATTTGCGTGAGGGCTGTAATACTGTCCGGGTGCCCAAACAGAAGCAGGTGGTTTTCTTAGGGAGCCACATCCCGAGCCTTTGACCTGAAGGTTTAGTCCACAAGGCAGTGGAGCATCGTGAGGAGATCTAGTCTCATGGTAGCCGGTGACCAACAATTGGTTCGTACGTCATTTGTTCCCTTAGGATACTGGAGCCCATGTGCACCATTGGTTTGGAATCAGGGTTTTCCAACTGTCCTAGGTGAACTTTCCGTGTCCACCAACCCGGTTAAAGCTCCGGACATTCGCTTTTCGTCCTCTAAATTTCGTAAACAACAGTAATGCCATGAGAAGACAGTGATTAGGACTTCCCTGACAGAGGCTATATACGCATAGCCATGTGGGAGCATTTCGAGAGGGGAGTAGACTCTCCCCACTCTCGGCCGTACCAAGGCATTTGGGGGCGCTCTCTATACAACTGTCGTTTGGCAGTCAAACATCTGATCTACTGCCCTATTCACTTTATCTGTTTTTCGATTTTACTTGAGGGAGCTGAGTCTCTTATTCTGAAGAGGACAACGAATACGAAGAACCCCTGACTGCTACTCTCCGAATTTCTTCCTAAGTTACGACCTAAAATTCAGTGAATTGGGAAGCAGCGAATGACGTGATACGAAAGTCTTTCACGTTATAAGCCGATGCATTATTACTTATGGAATCTAAACTCATTAGTTCTCGTAGGTGTATCCAGGCGTCTTTGGTTAAGTCTATTCAACTGAAATAATAAAATTAACGACACCTTTGTAGGCTTCATAAGTTGCTTGTTCTCAAAATCTATACCACTACCTACTTCTTAGTCTTCGCTTAATGACACTACAGACAGGCCCTTAGCTAACCTTATCCGAACCTACCACCAATTGAAGCTATCACTGACTCGTTTGTAGAGCTATCAGTTGATCCAATAAACTGATATGGAATACCCCAAGTCGGAAATGATCAGCATTAAGACTGATAATTAGAGACTGGCAGTAGTCGATAAGCTGCAAACGGCCAGTGTTATGACTACTACGCCACTTGCTCACAGTAAACCAGACGAACTATACGAGAAGTTATTTGTAACAATAGCCGTAGACCACAACACTTGTGTAGAAAATAGTAACAACTGTGCTAACGTACTAGAAACGTACCATAATAAAAACACGATAAATCTGTCAGGCGATATTCTCGTAATATAAAACCATCTGTGAGGCAGACGAAACCGAACAAAGCTTGATTCCTACATGGCCAATCAAAATGTACGAATGCACACTGTAACATGGAGTCCCGGTAAATTTAAACAATGAAGCCAGGTGTCCTTACGAGATACGTACTGAATTAGCGTGGTGATCCTTTAAAGCATAACACAACTCATCACTTGCTCAATTATATCTACATTTTGGGACCGCTTTTGACGTAAAATCTGAGTTCCCAACCACAGAGCAAAGAGAGGTTTTAATTACCCATTAAAATAGGAAAACCGATCTAGTTTATTTAAGTAAAATTATCAAATTACATAAAAAAATTGACAGCGTTGCGGCGCAAATTCACTTCAATCGGGTGGGCCTCAAAGTAGTCGTTGTCAATCCAATAAAACTCGTTCTATAACAATAAATATATAGGCACATATAAAGTTTGTGATGCAGAGAAAAAATTTAAAGTGAATATACGAATTAATAGAAAACTCCAGTGTACTATATAAGTAAAGATAGAATTAAGTACAAAAAACCACTGATAATGACTACATAAATCGATACATAGAACAAGTCAAGGTATCCAAAATCACGTTAGTTATAAGATGCAATAACGCAAAATATGTAAATAACCGACTTTTATCAAATTACATTCCTGCGTTTACGAAAACTGATTACCAAACACAATATACTAACAATAATTTCGGTGAATTATTATTAATGCTCAGTGACCTTAATACACACCGTTTAAAAAGGCAAAACACAGCTGTCTACATTTACACTTTGATTGTTCTCACATGAAAGCCTATCTATTCATCCATTTTTCATACTGTTCACACAATTCAGTGTTTTTATTAAAAGGCGAAAATTCAACTAATCCAGAATATGTTAGTTACCAACAATTAACATCGAAAAACTTAGATCTTTGGACAAAAGAAACAATAAGATACGAATCTTTAGCAATTACCACATAATTATTTCATAGTGTTTAATTTGACTCGGATAATTAAAAAGCTTCGTTTTTAGAATTTCAGAAGCTAAATTAGGTCTCTTTATTGTCAATTTAAAAAATTTGATAACCAACAACTCGGACTAATTTGATACCTTGATTTTTCATAACTTGCCCAACTCTATTACTAGAATTACATCACTAAGAAATATTCACCAGCATATCATCTACGCCTGTTCTTTAATCAACAGAAAAGCTGAATTTCTGTTCTGACGGATGAACAGGCAAATATTGCAAAAAAAACACTCATGAAACAATATAAAGACATGGTTTAGCTTGATAACAGTTTGATAATAGAGAAACAAAAGAAGCTCACCTCAGTTTGGCCAGGAAACAAACGCAACTTATCACACAATATTACCTGACTACCAGATTTAAATGAATACGGTTGAGAAAGGAGCCACGAACGAAACTGTTGTATATGGTCCCAATAGCTGGTGGAATGACGCAAAATATCCAAACGAATGTGGTCCTAAAGACATGCACATTTTTAATGGTACGGATTTAAATAGATTACACAAAACTACCAAGTGTGTGTTTAAACGTGAAACGGACCTTTGGTAATCTAATTAAGTGAATCAATTATTCACTTATAACACACATAGTAATACATATTTTGATTTATGATTATTCACACAACAATTCATTAGAAAACGTCCACTTCTGATATTCCATCACCTCTCCTAGTATGAGTTGCTAAACAGATTAATCAATATAAAGATTAGTTATGGTGTCGTATTTTCTTAAAATAAAAGAATACATGCGTTGTGTGTGATTTATTTATTCAGGTCAAAACAATTTCAACGAGTGAACTACAGTTTCGAACCCTGTTCATATAATGAGGTTTGGACATCAGTCCTAGTTATTATCAGACTTAGAGAATGATTTCTAATCCTGCTCCAACTGCATCAATTTAGGCAACTGGTTAGTATAGTTAGCTCTCACACTCAGCGCGTGGCTTGAAGGCACGTACACTAACCTGTGTCTGGTAAATGAGTTAATCTGACTCTCGCACATAAGAAATAATTGCATACAGACTAACAAATGAAAATTGATAGATAATACAAGTAACAACAAGATCCTGGCTTCTACTTTATTGTCTTCTCCGTAAGAAATGCCCAGTGAATTTAAACTACTGCTAGGAGACATACACTGTGAATACTTAGGCAGATAAGGAATTGCGTAGGATGGTTAGAGACGATCAACAGGAAGTCTTGAGCAGGATTTCATGCTTATAAGGAATTATCGGTAATATGTATTGACAAGACGTGAAATATTAATTTACTACGGATCGAAAATAAACCTAGGTGACGATTGTCGGTGAAAACGACATTTTGATTTAGAATTACCTGCTAGATGCTTTCAATCATACATCAACAAATACCACCATACAGCTGATTCATTTCACTCGAAACACATCATTAATTTGAGTGACCGAATTCGGTTAGCAGGTTAGATTATTTCAAAATTGGATTGATTACCAAGGGTGACAAGTTTAACACAGTATATAAGTTTGTGCATAACTACACTGAATGCGCAGTAATACTCCAAGATGTCTTCCTTGTTGAAATATACCAAAGAAATAAGTTATGATCACATTGACTTGTTAATAATGACTGATTACATACTCCAATCTACCACTCCCGTAACGTTTAGTTAGATTGGTGAGGCAATCTCTTGTGTATAACTGAGGTTAGTGCTCCAGTCAGTTAGTCATATAACGTACAACCTGACGCATGTGTGTCAATTCAAGTTGCCACATAACATTAACACAGTGAGATAAAATTATTAAGACAAACATCAGAATTGTAGAAGTAAAAATAATATCAATAGTAGCCGAAAAGATTAGATGTAGAAAAGAAACAAAAAAGCATAGGATTTCGGGATTTAGAGAAAACAAAGTGTATGAACCTATGCCACTGAGCACGATTGGGAACCATATCACTCACAGTCTGTAACCATTGGTTTCAACAGTCACTCCGATTTCAACCAGATAATTTGCACCTACCTATACGGCTCAGTGCAACGGTTAATGACTTCATGTACTGATAATGCGTTCTGGTTTGGTCTCCGCTAGCTTTCAGCCTACTACACCACATAACATTGCCCGTTGAGGTAGACAGTCGTTGGACATAACACATATTCTAATCACTTCAACTAATGAAGATACACTACCTCATTAACCAACCCCCAAATGCCCTGGTACGGCCGAGAGTGGGGAGAGTCCACTCCCCTCTCGAAATGCTCCCACATGGCTATGCGTATATAGCCTCTGTCAGGGAAGTCCTAATCACTGTCTTCTCATGGCATTACTGTTGTTTACGAAATTTAGAGGACGAAAAGCGAATGTCCGGAGCTTTAACCGGGTTGGTGGACACGGAAAGTTCACCTAGGACAGTTGGAAAACCCTGATTCCAAACCAATGGTGCACATGGGCTCCAGTATCCTAAGGGAACAAATGACGTACGAACCAATTGTTGGTCACCGGCTACCATGAGACTAGATCTCCTCACGATGCTCCACTGCCTTGTGGACTAAACCTTCAGGTCAAAGGCTCGGGATGTGGCTCCCTAAGAAAACCACCTGCTTCTGTTTGGGCACCCGGACAGTATTACAGCCCTCACGCAAATAAAATGAGATTTGGTGCTTCCTTGTACCAAAATTTATGTGTTTAAATAAATAAAAATAAATAACCAGTGACTAGTGTTCCAGCACAGATATATAATGATCTGACATCCATTTTACAAATAGGATGTGAAAAAATCAATAAACAACAGCTATACTTCACAGCTATACAAATCACTGAATAATGACGAAACTAGTACAAACCTGTTTTGATAACAATATAACTCATAAGTTTACTACAAAACACATAGACTTACTCCTTCTGGAGTGATTGTGAATCCTGAAGCCTTTTCAACGACTAATTCCTTTAATTCATCACATGCAGGATTGTCTATGAAACACTTGGCTTTGATTTGTTGTTGAATTTCTTCAATTTCCATTCCATCAATATTTGATTTGTTATTATTACTGCTTAACGAGAATCCAAATATTCTTCCTAATAGAGATGTTGATTTCTTTGCATTTACTTGAAGATCAGATTCTTTATAACTCTGTTCATGAAAAACAAAGTTAGTTATTTCAAGGAAATTTGTTGAAAAGAAAACCATTTTGACAAACACTAGGAAGTAATTTAAGATGAAATCAAGTTGAGTGAAATTAGAGCTAATAGAGAAAACTATAAGCTAACTATAGTACAAATTATACCACTCATCACTGTGTTCCTGAGTACAAGAAAACGAAGCATTGTCATTGAAGTTCAATTAATTGACTTATTTTCTAGTATTTAAATAATACTTTGTTGCAATAATCGTTACATTAATAAAAACAGTTGATTCTTGGTTTTTGTTTGATAAAATATTTTCATGAATCACAAGTCAATATGTTAATAGAAATGTGTACACTAAAATGAGGTGATAATGATGATTATCAAAATCAAACTAATCGATAAAAACACAAGAAGTTAATTGACGTTAGTTTAACAACAATATGAAACACTACAGACTGATAGCAAAAAAATATATAAGTGAGGGGAAAAACCGGACTAATATATTTCGTTATCAACAAGCTAACTATGTCATGTTAGATTGTTGAAGGTAGTCGACAGGAAACCCTAAACCTAGATTTCATGCCAGTTTCAATCTTGAGGGAGCCAGTGTTCTGCACATAATCTGAACACAGGTTACTGGGTCACAGCCTAAGACATAGTGATGGGTTGTTTAAACGGTGATTGACTTCAGGTAAAACTAAGATACATACATCAGTTCATCATTGAGTAGTAATTAATCTAGCGTCTGTCCAGTCCATGGTTTTGGCTAAATTCCAGTTCCTCTTATGCAACCGTTACAATCCATCAGTATTAGTAAGTAGGCATCTAAACATGACAAGGTGCTTACCATTAACTTTTTCTCCCAACATTTCGAACATCCTGTACAAATTGGAGTATAAGTAAGGCGAGCTAATTTCACACGACTTTTTTTCTGCTTTTTTTCAGATATAGTGACTGAAGAATCTGCGAAAAAATTCGATGAAGTTTTAGAATCGTCATGAGGATATATTTGAGTATTGTTTTCAGATGATCGAAGCCAATACCAAGTAGATCTCCATAACGCACCAAAATTACGACTCCACGATATAGGAGATGAAACTGAAAGTGTTGTGAGTACACCACGGTGATCGTTAGGATTTGTTGGTTTTTTATGCCTATCACTAGCACCAAAACCCCCACCAAGTTCTATATCTCTCCAAATATTCCATTCAATACCTAATAAAGCATAAGTATTTGCAGATGACGTCTTTGATTGTTCAATTGGTTGACTATCCTATTTGAGAAGTTATAAACAAACGATTTCAAGACATTATAAGTAAGAAATATGTAAAAAGAATGGTCCTTCGTAGATTAGATTGCTTATTTCAAAAAGTTTTTCAAATGGCATAGATCACTTTGTGATGTAGCCAGGATGAATGTAGGATTCAGATTGAAGGTATATACCACCAAGGGTGTTTACACAATAAGCCGAAAAGGTTTTCGTTTCTATTCTCCTGAGGATTAAGAACAAGTACTAATAATTACTGGTACTAATCAATTGATTTCCAAATAATTTAGTAAGCCCATTGTTCACGAAGATGATGAAGCACTAGTTAACATGTGCTTTTAATATTTCAGATTTTCTCAGATGCATGGTAATGTGTTCTAGACCATTTTACTTTATTCACATTTTACTTCTCTTAACCAACGAAGGGGACTATTTCTACCTTCAGCTGTTGTAGAGAAGTTTTGCTGACTGAGAACCAGTAGAATTCGAAATACATTTAAGATCAGTTATACATTGATTTAAATAATTAGTTTAAGAACTGAGATATTTTCAATCAGCACATATCACGAAAATACGTCCAAAAATCTATACAGTGAATAAATTAACCATTATATATTGATGGAGTTTTGTCCTCTGAGCTGGATGGTTTGGTCGTGGAACTTTCATTGTCCTTCTGAACGACATCATCAGCACAAACTTCGGGTAGAAGTTTGTGCTGATGATGTCGTTCAGTGAAGTGAAGTGTTCGAATTTTGTGCTGATGATGTTCAAAAGGACGATGAAAGCTTCACGACCAACCCATCCAGCTTAGAGAACAAAACTCCATCAAAATCATCCACCTCAGCTACAAATCTTTTCCACCATTTCATAACCATTAGATACCTAATATGTTACATGAACCTTTAGAACAATAGACATTTTGACGGAAATCCTCTCAAGAAACTAATGACGAAATTAGAACAGCATGTAACATGTTCACATACATAACTATATTTATCCTTCATCCACTTATGAATCAACCGATTTTTAGACATAAAATGAAGAGTATACTCGCAAAACATCCAGTAGTTCATGGAAGTTTAACTAACAATATGAGTAATTCCAACTACTAGATATATTAAAATTCCATCTTTAACAGCATATTTTATTCGTAATGCCACGTTGTACTAGGTTCTACGTGAATTCAGTAAGTGAAACTGTGCAGATTAAACGTATATCAAAGAGAACAATTAGTCAGAGAAAAAACGACATTTAATAAAATTAAAAACTCACGTCTGAAACAACTTTAACTTCTAAAACATTCCTCCTTTTAGTATTGTTTTGTAGGACGGATTGTAAAACGTTATAAAACCATCTACAATGTGCGAGCACATAATAATAATAATAATAATAATAATAATAAACAAACGGATCCATCAATAAACATTCAGATTCTAATAACGTACTTATGTCAAACAGTATTCCAAAAGATGAAGCACAGTATGAACTTCGTTAACGACTAGATCCTGAAATAATCCTCATCATTGCTTGTTAGTAGTAAACTTTACAAACGTTTATTTCATATGCTTAACGAATGTGATGAATTAGATTGCTATATTTATTGCTACCTATCCACCTGTTCAAATCAAAGAAACTAATACGATACTCAAAGTCAGTAGAGAAATCAAAAACATAGGAATATGAAAAGAAGGGACGAAAAGTGTATAAGGGTAAATTATGTAAGCTTACTTAGGGACAACTGTTTTCTCACGCATAGAGTTTATAAGTCCATTCCAAATACCTACGGGCACCGCTCCGACCGGCAATGACCACAGAGGAGTAGTCTGTGACGATTTGTTGGATATAAGATTCAGCATACCTTAAAATCGTCCCGAGATAACAAACTTGTAACTGTCTAAACAATGTACGTTATGACAAGGTAAATACTTTCTGGATCATATTGTCGTCCCCAACAACTAAAACACCGTCAGTACTGCTTGGGTCTAGCACCTTTATGAAGTCTTTTATTTCAGAATCGGTGTCTAGATAAACCATTTTAACGTCAAGACCAGATAGGTTTAAAATAGGAGCAGCATTGTTTTCAAACTCCTTTAAAAGTCCTCTGGAAAATAGGAAATTAGCACATACCCACGACGCGAGAATGGATTGACAAACACAGTCAGGCTGCGTAGAGGTTGTGTGCTATGAACAGTTTTGTAATTTTCTGACTACATAATCATAGGTAAAGGTGAATGACCTACAGAAACATGGGAGCATATTTCTCGGTGCAAAACGTAATCACTATTTACATGAACAAATGTAAAATGAAAATGTACCGATATCTTTCACTAGTAAAATTATAGCAATAGACTAAACATAATGTCCCAGCAACAAGCTTTTTCGGATGGTTTGCAGCAACACGCCAGACCGCAGACATCAAAAATTGCGCTGTTCAAATGGTTCAAATGGTTCAAATGGTTGAGGACGGAATAGAAGAAGCTTTCGCTTAACGGGCTTCCGTGTCTGATAGCAGTGGATCACCAATACCTCCAGGCAAGAACATAGGTATATGAACGATAATAGAGGGAAAAAAAGAATTTGGTAAATCATAATAATATGTTATCCTTAGTCCTTAAGAATAAGTCAAGTTTTCTCTTAAAGGACTTCTGGGAGGTCGCTTGGACTAGCTCAGTCGGCAGCGAATTCCAGCACTTGACAACTCTAACGGAGTAGAAGTTCTGTCTGCAGTCTGTTCTGCTATGTAGGGTCTCCAATTTCTGGGTGTTACCTCTGAGGTTAGTGTTATGACTAAGCTTAAGAAGTTGTTTAAGGGGATGACCAGAAGTATTAAGGATACTATAAGTCATAAGAAGATCACCTCTAAGACGCCTATACTCTAACGGGTAAAGGTTAAGTGATTTGAGGCGCTCTTCATAAGGTTTGAATTTGAGACCCCGAACTGATTTCGTGGCTCGACGTTGTATACGTTCCAGAGTGACCTTATCCTTTTGGAGGGAGGGAGGAAATACTATGTTTCCGTACTCTAAGTGGGGACGAATAAAACTGTTGAAGATTATGTGGAAGGTTCTACCGTCAAACTGGCCAAAAATGCGCTTCAATGTTACCAGTGCAAGGTTTGCTTGAGAGGCGTTTTTGTCACAGTTCGCATACGATTTCAGGTCGTAGGGTACCAACACTCCTAAATCTTTTTCAACTTGGGGAACTTCTAGAGGTGAGTTACCTAAGTTATAACTATAGTCTGCAACATGTCTCAGATGGACTACCTTGCACTTTGAAGTGTTGAAGGTAAGTCCGTTGTCGTCTGCCCAACTTTGAAGTCGAGTCAGATCCTCCTGCAGAACTAGTATATCATTGTGAGTACGTATCTCTCTCCAAAGTTTCACATCATCAGCAAAAAGCAATAAATCAGATGAAACTTGTTGAGGAAGATCGTTAATATAAATCAAGAAGAGAAGAGGTCCTAGTATTGAACCCTGGGGGACCCCACTAGGACATTCCATAGCCTGAGAGAGTGAAGTTAACCCTGACCTTAAAATGTCGGTTTTCTAGGTATGAAGTGATCCAGTCAATTAAAGGGGGTTTTATACCCAATCGTCCAAGCTTCTTGATAAGACATGCATGGTTGACCCTATCAAAAGCTTTTGAGAAGTCCAGGTAAATGACGTCAACCTTCCCCTTGCGATCAAGGATGGTTGTCCATTTATCCACCGCAGTCAGCAGGTTGGTCGTACAAGAATGACCTTTTCTGAAACCATGCTGTTGAGGCGAGAAGAACTTTGAGGATGATAAGTGTTCTAGTATGCCGTCGAATACTAGGGATTCCATTATTTTTGAAGGTATGGAGAGAAGGGCCACTGGTCGGTAGCTTGAGGGTTCACTGCGTCGACCTCCTACAGCGCTGTTACAAACCTGCGGAATTCAAGTAGGGAATTAATTCAGTTTCAGTTTCAGTTTCAGTTTGGAAAGGACAGGAGGCTTGATGGCCTGTGTTAGTCCTGGCAATGATGGTCTCTCAGTTGATCCAACTTTCTTTTGAAGGAGTCGACGGATGGAGCCTCAACCACGTGCTGAGGTAATGAATTCCACTCGTTGATTATTCGATGGGAAAGTCGGTAGTCAGCTGACAAGTAATTCGTTCCTCGTAAATTTTCTGTTTTGGAAGACAAGAAAAATGAGGGCATATCAGGTGCAAATTTGTCATTAAGCAATTTGAAAACTGTAATCAAGTCGCCTCTGATTCTTCTATTTGACAGCGGGAATAGGTTTAGCTTGGTCAGTCTAGTACCATACGGGAGCTTCGCTATTCCGGGAATCAGCCTAGTTGCTGTTCTCTGAACCCTTTCCAAGAGTTCACTGTCTTTTTTTAGGCAAGGGCTAGCTGCTTGTACACAATACTCAAGTTTAGGGCGTACGAACACTGTATACAAAGTCAGAAACGTTTTAACGTCGAGATGCCTAAAAGCCCTGCGTATGGACCATAAAGTCCTAAAACCTTTGGCGGCTATTGCACGGCAGTGTGCAGTAGTCTTTAAGTCTTGACTAACGATGACGCCTAAGTCATTGTGTGCCTGAACAATAGGTAACTCAGTGTTATTCACCGTGTATGTATTTGTACCCTGGTGGCCAATATGCATCACAATACAATTGGAAGTGTTTATCGGCAATTGCCAGGTTTGGGACCATTCAGATAATCTCTCCAGGTCATTTTGAAGTTCTAAGCTATCGCCCTTGCTTTGTATCGCTCTCCATATCTTGACATCATCAGCATAGAGTAAGACCGATGACGATAGTAGACGAGGGAGATCATTTACATACAGGAGGAATAACACTGGCCCCAAAACTGTACCCTGGGGGACTCCACTAAGCACAGTTTCCCATCTAGACAACTTGGAGTTCATCCTTACTCTTTGTTGACGCCCAACTAGGAAGTCTTTTATCCACATCAATAGATTGCCTCAAATCCCGACATTCCTTAGCTTATATAACAGCCGGTTATGCGGAACTTTGTCGAAAGCTTTGCTGAAATCGATGTAAGCTACGTCTGTAGGTAATCTTTGTCCTTAAGAGCGCACCAGCTTTCACGATCGACTAATAAGTTTGTGAGACAAGAGTAACCTGTTCTAAAACCATGCTGCTTTTCGGAGAGGATCCGGTTTTCATCGAGATACTTTAACAGTTCCTTCCAAATAATCTTTTCTAAGATTTTAACAACCACACTACTTAGGCTAATTGGTCGGTAATTCTCAGGCTTATGTTTTGCACCTGTTTCGAAGACTGGACTTACTATGGCGTTCTTCCAGTCTTTTGGTAGGCGACCCTGGGTTACGGATAGATTAAAACATACACTTAAAGGGTTCGCAACAAAGTTAGCTAATTCCTTTAATAACCTAGGATGCAGTTCATCGGGTCCAGTGGATTTACCTATGTCAAGCTTAACTAGCAGACCAAAGACATCGAGTTCTTTAATGGTTACGCTGTCCAGTGCTTGTGTGGGGGGATTTTCATGGACTGGTGAGAAGGGTGTTTCTATGGTGTATACATTGCTAAAGTATTTAGAGAATACTTGAGCTTTGCCAAAGTCGTCCTCCACTAGTGATGTGGCAGTACTGTCTCCCCATAGTGAAGGAACATTTCTTCTTCTTTTTGTCCTTTGGTTTATATACGAATACAAGCGTTTAGGGCATTCTATGGATTCCCTAACGATTTTCTCTTCGTACAGCTTTCTGGCCTTGCGGAGGGTTGAGGCACAGGTATTTCGAGCCTTTTGATACTGAGATTTTGCCTCGTCAGTCCCCAGTAACCCAAATCTGTCCCATATTTTCCTTCTTTTACGGAGAAGAATGCGAACCTCCCTACTGAACCACGGTGGGGAGTTTCTCGGTCTCTTAGGTGTAGTCCAAGGGATGTGGGGGGCGGTAACTCTGAAATATAAATTCCGGAATACGTCCCAAGCCGTTTCGATTGATGACTCTGGATCTAATTTCCAATCTACTAATGATGCTGATTTCATGATGTCTGGTATGTTTGCTTTCCAGACGTTAGGTCTGGATTGAGCTGAAGCGTACTCGTGATCGACAGTTATATGGAAGTCAAAGCTTAAAACTGCATGATCACTTTTGCCTAGGGGTGGCATGTAATCCAGGTTTGCAACATCATCCTCATAATGAGTCAATATAAGATCTAGTAAGGATGATGCAGAACCCGGGTCGTACCTAGTTGCTTCCTTCACGTGTTGCACTGGGGCACATATGATTACCGCATCAACTAGTTCCTGTTCGAAGGAGTTTGCTTACGATTCAGTCCGCAGATTTCCCCAGTCCACCATGAGTGCATTAAAGTCCCCTAGGATTAGACATCGATCACTTCGTGATAAAGTGTTGAGACTGCTTAGCAGGACCTCGTTTGCCTCACAGCTTGAACTGTGATAGATCAAACTAAGTAGCAACTCTTGTCCCCTGCATTTCAGGCGGCAGCAAACTAATTCATACGTCCCACTCTCATGGGATACACTGTCGATAATGGTGAATGGAATAGCATTCCTAATGAATAGAGCTACTCCCCCTCCTTTGCGCGTTTGTATTCTATCGGCCCTTACTAATGTAAAACCCTCGAAGTCAAGTTCCCTACTATCTATAGACGGCGTCAGCCATGTTTCTGTGACTGCGATTATGTCTGGCCTAGTTGAGTCAATCTGTACACCTAGTTCCGGTAGCTTATTCAGTAAGCTCCGGGTGTTGGTATAACAGATCCGAAGCCTATTTAGGTGGCCTCGTGCTTCACCCAGAGTGGCTTCGGCATCATCCTCTGTCGAAGCCTCACAACCCGAAAATTTACAATTTTCAGGTCTTTTTCGCCAGCGTCTAATCTGAGCTGTAGTTCCTTTTCGGCTTCCTGTCTTTTAACACGGTCCGCCAACGGTAAGTCCTTACGGAGAAAAACTCCTGAACCCTTTAATTTGTGTCCATTTTCTAAGATTAGGTCGCGTTCGTTTGGGGATTTGAAAACGACTTTGAGTAGTCTAGACTGATTTGGTTTCAGATGCGCTAGATTTCCTAGTCTATACACCTTTAGCAAGGTGACTCCGGGGATGTTTTTGGGCATAACTTGGTTGAGTAGTTGTTTTATCAACACAATGTCATGCTCAAAACGAGCTTTCGGTTCTAAGTTGTCACTTTCCTTGACTCTACGGAGAATGACTGATCTGTCGCTGTGATCAGACCTCGGCTTGTCAACCCTTTCGGTGGGGGAATGATTTCCTTTTACGTCATTTTGGCGTTTTTTTCTTACGACCCGTACCCAATCGCCAACGTTCTTTGGAGTGGTAACCACAGTCGCGTCAGGCGTACTGTGGGATTCCGGAAGATTCGGGACGACTTGAGAGATTGGGTCATCTTTCGCGCTGGAAACCGATCGGGC